CTCAAACAGATGATTAAGATGATTGGACATCTAGACTAAACCCCAATAGACACCTATAGAGAAAGTACCGTGAGGGAAAGACTCAGAATTGCTTCTAAAAGTTACCTTTTGCATAATGGGCCTGCAAGACAAAATTTGGCAAGCTTAAGTATTAATGAAGGCATAGTGAAAGCAAGAGAAAAAAACTCGTAAGTCAAATTTCCTGAAACCAAGTGATCTAACCATGGTCAGGTAGCTATTTGCTGACCGAACCAGTGATTGTGGCAAAAATGTTGGATGAGCTGTGGTTAGCGGTGAAATACTAGTCGAACTTGGATATAGCTGGTTCTCTACGAAACTTATCTTAGTAAGGTGCCCCAAGTTGATTCGCCCCCAAAACCGGGGGACTTTAATTACTGGTGCAGTAAGACTATAGCGATAAGGCTAGTCTAAAGGGGTAAGCCCTAACCAGAAATTAAAGTCACTAATACAGATTAAGTGTATAAAGAGGGTTCAACTTGGACAAACAGGAAGTAGGCTTGGAAACAGCCATCTGTACAGGAAAACGTAAAAGTTTACTGAATGAGTTAGAAAACTCTAAAAATCAAGGCGGCTAAATCTGTAACTAAAATTCTGGAAGTCAGACCATAAGGATGCAACTGGCTTGGTAGTAGAGCGTTCTTTAAGCACGATATGTGCATACTTCGTGAGACAAACAGAAGTGATAATGCAGGCATGAGTAGTACAAGATTCACTCCCAACTAAATGTATATACAGCTTCTAAGGGTATTACGCCCGATGAATTATAATTCTTGAACTTGTTCAGGAAAATATTATGGTACTTTGTACCTTCAAATGTTATTATGGGACTTAGATCAAGGCATAATTTCTCTTAAGGAGCTCGGCAAAATGAGATCAGGACTGTTTACAAAAAACATAGCTCTCTGCTGAAGGTTACTGAAGTAGAGAGAGTGAATTCTGCCCAATGGTTGTATCGTGAAACTAAGGACTAACGTCTAAAGCGAAACCCAACTGAATGGCCGCGGTAATACTGACCGTGATAATGTAGCACAATAAATAGCCAATTAATTGTTGGCGGGTATGAATGGAACCACGAGGGTCTTACTGTCTCAAGAAGAAAGCCGATGAAATTATAGTTGTAGTGAAGATACTACATAATCATTGTAAGACTAAAAGACTTTATCGAGCTTTACTGGATACCAATAACGTTGATTAAAATTAACGATACAAGCATCCTAATTTTGAGTTAGTAATTTTGTTGGTAAGACAGTTTAGTTGGGGCGACTACCTTTGAATAAGGAACGAAGGCGAGCTTATTGGTATAAAAGCTAATCTCATTAGCCTGACAGTGAGGGGGGGGCACCCCTAGCTGGCGCATAGCCAAGGACATAGTCCTATGTGGGCGATAATGACGCGATATGATAGTTCAAAATAAATATCGAAAGCGGATAAAAGCTACCGTAGGGATAACAGCGTAATATTGTCGGAGAGTTCTTATCGAGAACAATGTTTGCGACCTCGATGTTGAATTGCGGTGCCTTGGTGCTGTAGAAGGTACCTTAGGTTGGTCTGTTCGACCATGAAAACCGTACATGATTTGAGTTTAGAGCGTGGTGACACAGCTCGGTTTCTGAGTTCTAGTACGAAAGGAATGGTCTCAGCGATGCTCGACTATATTGGCCCCATCGACGTAATCAACTTCTGGCTGCTGCAAAGAAGGAAAACAAAAGGTTTAGGGATTAACAAGGCATATGCCATGTGGGTGCATAGCCCCTGGCATATTATGGAATTAACACTAGGGCTCATTATACTAATAGTGTTGACATATGGATTAAAAGCCCCGACTTTAAGATTAGCTATACTACTTGCGGGGGTTGTGGGGGCTACTGAGTTATTAACTGAGCCCCATTTACTATGTTGGACACAGGCTATTAAAATGTTGGTGATGATAAGTGGATTAGCTATACTATGTATGCTTGACCATCAAACATCGCATCGATCAAGCTCTTTATTGAGTTTATTAGTGATCTTAGGTAATTTATTACTTATAGAGTCAACAAATTTAATTTTTATAAATTTAGCATTAGAGATGCAAACATCATGTATGTTTATCTTAGTGGGTTATACTAAAAGCTCATTGTTATCGGCAGAAGCTGGACATAAATACTTTGTGTTAGGGTCACTATCTTTGGGGTTGTTTCTGTTTTGGTTGTGCTTTAAATTATGTATCCACAGGAGAACTTGAACTTCAATTTATTCGTATGAGTTTAGAATCTTATGGTGTACTAGCTGGTAAGTGTCTTATTACTATCTCATTGTTATTTAAAGTGTCTGCAGCCCCATTTCATATGTGGGCCCCCGATGTATACGAAGGAGCTCCAACTTGGGTAGCTGCGCTATTATTTATTGTACCTAAATTAGGAATACTAGCTATTATAGTACAAATAGGCTTAAATGAAATTGGGCTATTAATAGCTGGGTTAATCTCTTTGATTGTTGGAGCTATAGGAGCTTTAAATCAAACTCGAATAAAAAGACTACTAGCTTGTAGCATAATAGGCCATATGGGGTTTGTGTTACTTGGAATAGCTATTGGGTCTATAAAAAGTCTTCAGGCGAATTTAATATATGTAGGTGCTTACATAATACTCAAGTATTACTTTGGTCTGGAGTCCTAATTATATCCCCTAAAAGAAACATGCTTATTGAATTTAGTGGTGTTTCAAGATTAAACCCAATGTTAGCATTAGCATTAGCTACAGGTTTATTGTCTACTGCAGGAATTCCTCCTTTAATTGGGTTTCTAACTAAATGGTATGTAATTTTAGCAGTTGTTGGTCAAGGTTACTATCTCAGTGCTTTATTGGCTTTAGTTTGTTCTGTGATAGCAGGAGTTTATTACATTAGATTAGTAAAAATTATGTTCAATCAACCTTTGTCTGCGCCTTTAGTAATAACAAATATATTAAATTCTCCATGTGGCAATGTAACACCAGAGGAAACAAGTTTAGGCAAGGCAATATTAATGGGGGCAAATTTATATTTAGTGTTAACAATTATAATATGTCCTAGTTAATTCTTTCAATTAGTACATTTGATTATCTTAGATTTATTCCCATGTATCTTCTAGTTATATTAATACCATTACTAAGCGCAGTCAGAAGCAGATTAGGGGGTCGCTATTTAGGAAGAAAGGTGGCTAGCTTGTTAAGTTCTGTGTGGGTTCTCGTCAGTAGTCTCCTTTCTTTTGTGTTATTTTATGAAATCCTGATTAATGGGTCTACAGTATATATAGAGTTAGGCAGATGCATAGAGTCATATTTACTAATAACTAGCTTTGGCCTACAATTTGATATGGTAACAGCTGTAATGTTAATTGTAGTTACAACAATTAGCGGGTTAGTTCATGTGTATTCTACAAGTTATATGAGAGATCCCCACTTACCTAGGTCTTCATTTACCTTTTTTATGTTAATTTTAATTACTAGTAATAATTATGTGCAATTATTCATTGGTTGGGAGGGTGTTGGTTTATGTTCTTATTTATTAATCAACTTTTGGTTTACGCGCATACAAGCTAATAAGGCGGCAATTAAAGCAATGTTAATCGATAGAATAGGAGACATAGGATTAATGCTGGCTATTATATTAATCTGGAAAGAATTTGGGGCAGTAGATTACTGTAGTTTATTTCCGGCTTTATCACCATCTTCAGCTTGTATTTGGATTTGTATATTATTAACTATAGGGACTGTAGGGAAATCTGCTCAATTTGTGTTACATACTTGGTTGCCGGATGCTATGGAAGGGCCGACTTCTGTTTCGGCCTTAAATAGAATTTTGACTCTGAAGATGACTATCGCTAAGGTTGTCGAAACGTCAGTCAACAACAACAAAAGCAGTCCTTCTCGGTACTATACCAACCTGGACGATCTACATTTATGCATAAATCAATTCCAAGAGTTACCATCCCTCCCCCGGGAATTCGGCCGGGCATTTGATTTTTTTCGTTTTAATAGTTCAATTTCCCCGCTGCCGGGGAGAGGCAAGAAGGCAAATACTCGGCCCCCGGCAAGCTGCGAACGGCAAATGCCCTGCTCCCGGACCAATTTAATTTAAATTACGAAAATTAAGAACACTTTTTAATACTTTATTAAAGAAGATATATGAGAGATCCTACAAAAAATAAATGTACTAAAAGAAATTCGTTCCTGAGTTACTTTCCCTTGCTCCGCTTTTCTCTTGTTGCTTTTGCTTTTCCAGCACCTCTTTTCCTGTTCACAGAAATTTGCGTCAAGTGCTGAAGTCACAATTTAACATCCTCGGTTGACAGCAAACATTTCTTGGCAAGCATGCTTATGTCAGTATCCTCTACACCATCCACCACTGTAATTCTTGTGAAAGTCTGCCAGTATTTCAGACGGCGGCGGGCTCCTTATAGCTTTGCCAACTGCATATAAATTTGGCAGCTCTGACACATCGGTGACATAATGCCCATAGCAAACTCCCGTGCATGTTTCGCAATCTTCCCTCCGCAAGGTCTCTGCATCAGCAACTGGGTAAGGAAAAAAACTACACGATGGTCCGTCTGGATACAAAGAGATGGGAATCGGTACTTAATGTCGCGTTTAATTGAAATCAATAGTCGCGACTCGCGTACTCAAATGGTGCCAAATCTTCGGGGGTATTACAGCCGAAGTAAATACCCGACTCCCGAGCATCTCTTTTACGAGCAAATTCCCGACCCCCGAGAAAGGTCTCCAGGGCAAATGTTTAGGGGTATCCCGGGGGGTGTGGTAACTCGTGGTATTGACTCATGCATTATAAGAATAATGAGGAAATGAGATAAATTAATGGAGAGCGTGTTACAAAACTAAACAAATCTTTTCTATTAATTTCATCAACTGTAGCACCAACTTTCAAATAAAGAAGCCCTAGTACCTGTGGTCTGTGGCAAACCATGAGGCTAAAAAATGACTATACCTGTTCTTTTGTTATAGGATCTGTATTGTATGAGTTATTAGCAGAAAATACACATCGAAAAACTTCGCTCTTTTCACATGCAACCATCAACTGATAAAGAATATCATTAGCCCAAAACATTTGCAACACATCATCCCTCTCCTCCCCTATACAAAGCAATAGTCTTGGTGCTCATGCAAGCGGAAGTAGTCGTACAAAACGTGATTTAACTTTTCTTCATTAGTCTTGCGCTTTTTTCATCGTTTATGGGGTTGTTTGGTTGTATGAGCTATGAAAAATTATATGTGTGTATGAAATTTATGAAATGCAAGGGAATTAAAATCGTGAGAATTTGCACGCGAGCGATGCAATTTTCAAACGTCGCATGCTTCATGACTCCGTAAACACATCGTCATTAATGTCTGTAAAACGTACAGTGGTAAGTAAAGTTTTTTAATGATTTATAATATAGATTTTGAACAAAATTATCTGGCGAGTGCATTTTATTTTATATTTGGTCATAAATGAAACAGTAAATTTGAACATTTTATGAATTATGCTGTAGAACGTTGTTATTGTTATTGAGGTTTATTTGAGAAGGACCTAAAAGGCAAAACATTTGTTTTTTTATTCATTTTATTTTAAAATTTAATTTATCAATGCTGCATTCGTTTATGTGTTAAATGAGACAACACATCTTTGAATATAATGGTAGCAAAATATTTAAACAAAAGCAACAACCTCAGTTTGGATTTAATCAAATTAATGCCCAATACAATTATATTTTTGAAAACTTTGAAATACTTTGAGACTTATTATAAAGTTACCAGTCGCACAACATCTCTTACTAATCTTGCATTCTGAAATATCTGTTGGAACATGGCATTTTTTGCTTCTTCACAAAACACTGTATGTGTTGGTTTTATAAATTGTTATATGTATGTATGTATGATCTCAAAAGCACCAGATTAATTATGGATTTGAAATAAACAACAAAATTTTTTATTATAAACATATTTCGACTTTCCAGTCTACTGAAGTTGACTTAATGTAAGTTGATGTTTATAATAAAAAAGTTGTCCTTTATTTTAAATGCCTAATTTTTATATGTGTTGAGTTTTTAATTCACCCGACCATTTAATACAGTTTTGAACAATGAAAAATCAAATTTGAATCTTGGAAAAGGTGACAATGTCTACTTAATATAGGTGGACTGTTCAGTAAAGGTCACTTAAATATTATTTATATTTTGAATTTTTGGTACATTACCACACAATTGCAAAAAATAACCACTGTATGAAAAAATGTATGCTCCAAACAGATGTTTTCAAACAAGTCACTTTCTTACATAATTCATTCATATTTATGCATCAAGATTGTTCAGTTGTAGGGAAAAATGTTTCAGTTCCTAACTCCCTGACATAAAACAACTATATTACAATAAACCAACAACAAAGTAACAAATAATTTCATTTCCATAATTTTGAAGACTTAAACAGTGCCACACTTCCTCTATGGTTTGTCAAACTACACATTATTATTGCTAATTATTGCTCTAACTAGTAAATCAAATGAATACAATATGATTATCACTGTCTTTGAAATTACATTTATTGTCTTTCACATGTATAAATATTGTGCTTAGCACATGTTTCTTTGCTGGAAACTCTTTTAAGACAAAATTTCTTCCTTAAGAATTTTAAAATGAAACGAATGAACTAAAGACTGCTGAATCTTATGGCAAAGACAGTGAATATTCTGAAGATGGTATGTAAAAATAACAAATTTGTAAGAAATTTATAATGTACAAACTGACGAGTGGCGAACGTTGGACATTTTCTACCGAAATGGGTTCTACAAAATCAACATAGCCCGTTGATAGATGTCTTGATAGCAGACTGGGATTTTTCTCTGTAGAACAGAGCATGTGCTCAATACTGTCAACAATTACAAGAGATACTACGTAGCTATGTACAAGCTTAAACTGTTATCTATTTATTTATGACCAACAGTGAGATATTAATTATCGTGCTAATTTCACATTCTTTGCAAAGTTTTCATGTAGCTAATATTTTTCATTGTATAATTGCCAAAATTAACCACTGTATGAAAAAATGTATGCTCCAAACAGATGTTTTCAAACAAGTCGCTTTCTTACATAATTCATTCATATTTAAATTGTTATACATCAAGATTGTTCAGTTGTAGGGAAAAGTGTTTCAGTTCCTAAGTCCCTGATATAAAACAACTATATTACTATAAACCAAGCACCCACAAAGTAATAAAAAAATTTCATTTAAGATAATTCACTTAAGGAACCCTGGCCAAAAAAATTCCAGTGCCACATCTTCCTCTATGGTTTGTCAAAACTACACATCATTATTCCCAATTGCTAATTATTGCTCTAACTAGTAAATCAAATGAATACAATATTGGTCACATTATCACTGTCTTGAGAAATTACATTTTTATTGTCTTTCACATGTATAAATATTGTGCTTTAGCAGGTTACAGGGTGGGGCTCACAAACTTTAGATTTAACTCCCCAAAATAAATTGCCCACCTCTGTCGGAAACATTTTAACTCCCTCAATTTTTAGCAAAACAAATCAGTAGTACAGTTGAACTGAGTTTTTCTGGGCAATGTTTCAACTTTCTTTAATATCTTTGCTGGCTGCACTACCAGACCTCCCCTAAAATCTACACTTTTATTGTCGTCACTTCTTTACCAATTGACTATTAAATTAGCACTTTTAATTTCCAGTATTTTCTTGCGTGTAGCATTTACTGTGAAATAAAAAATTTCTCTACCGAAGTCTTATGCTGTATATTGTGGAATAATTCTTGTGAAACCAAAAATTCTTTTATAAAATTGACTAATTTTCGTCAATTATTGAAAGAAATTAGGTTAACTAGCGTGAGTTTATACACATGATATTTAATCATATAGTATTTCTAGTCACGCAGAGATCATATGACATTATTCCTGAGATCAATACTTTCATTTTCTAGTCATCGTATTCATTGGAGAAGATGCCTTACGAAAATTTCGATAAAATTGTGCAAAGCATTTTCATCAAAAGGTAAATATCATGTATTAAGTATTTGTTGTTCGAATTTCAGTGACATAAGTAAAGTACATGGGAACGAACTCCTGAATTCGAATTCCAGTTTGTCACAGATTGTTAAGATTATTTCCGTGAATTTTCGCTATCTATATGTTGCTAAAAGTTTGATAAATTGTATGAATGATTGTAAGCAATGCTTTCATAAACAATATATAGTTTAACATTTTATAGTTCGTGAGATTTCTCTTTACACAGTAACTCATCCATGTTTTCCATGACGATTATCATAAATATTGATCTTGTTTGTTTCTGTCTTGAATGAATATGAGTTGACCATTATTGTTCATAGTACGACTAACGATGCACTATCGATAACTTTACCATTTATGATTTCTATTGAATTGGACGATATTGATAGTCACTGTTTTATTTTTAGAAGTCTTATCTCCTCGCTGTGACATTGCATGCCTAATTATATTTATATACTGTAATGACGTTGGTAATTCCTTATTTAATATGCATGTGTAATGTATATAAGAACCTGTACTTGTGTAAGTTTATGAATTAAATACAAGACTTATTACATGGTGGTAGCGATTAGGAAAAGTTTGTTCTTATCGAATGGCAGAAGGATTTTCCAGGCCAACACGACTCTCGTTTGAAGGCAACGTTGCTGAGAATTGGCGTCGCTTCAAACAGAACTATGAAATATACATTGTTGCTGCAGGACATAGTCGGAAATCAAAGAAAGAAAAGTCATGCATCCTCTTAAATCTAGCTGGCGAAGATGCAGTTGAAAGATATAATTCTTTTACCTACAACGAAGAGGAAGACAAAGACGATCCAGAAATTCTAGTGAAGAAATTTGAAGAAATTTGTATGCCGCTTAAGAATTTAACATTCGAAAGACATTTATTTCATACAAGGAAGCAAAGTCCGTCAGAGTCGATTAGTTCCTTTGTTACAGATTTGAAAACATTGCTCGAAAGTGCGAGTTTGGTGACCTCGAGAGCGAACTTATTAAAGATCGTATTGTGTGTGGGATTAATAGTGATGCAGTAAGAAAGATTCTCCTTCGCGAAACAAGTTTAACTTTAGACAAGGCTCTAAACATATGCAGTGCAAACGAATTGTCGGAACAACAAGTAAAAGATCTTACTAATTATCAAGATGTCGATGAACTGAAGGCTAGGAAGAATTTGAAAACCTCAAGAGGAAGTTACACAAACTTAAGTCAAACAAAAGAAGATCAACATCGAGAACAAAGATTCGTATTAAAGAACAATTGCAGAAACTGTGGAGGAAAACATCTTCCAAAGCAATGCCCAGCTTTTGGAAAAATTTGCCACAAATGTCATAAGAAAAACCACTTTGCTCGGGTGTGTCTAACGTCTACACAAAAGTCACAAAGAACAGTTCATGAAGTTAGTGATGAAGAATTGTTTATTGGTGCTGTTAATGCAATCAAACCTACGCAACAACGCACAAGCTCGAAAGTCGACAATCGAATGAATATTGAAGCTGTAGAAAAAAGCAATGACGAGTGGTATTCTGAACTCAAATTTGGCAGACATTTGGTGAACGTGAAGGTGGATACAGGCGCAAAATGTAATGTGCTTTCTAAAAAATTGTTCGACAAAGTCAAAGAAGCTGAGCAACAAGTTACCAAAACAAATACAAAGCTAATGTCGTATAGTGGAGATTCAGTTCAAACCTTGGGACAAGCAGTGATGACGTGTTCTTACAAAGACAAACGATACAATCTTCTTTTCTATATAGCGACACACGATGTAAAGCCTATTCTTGGTTTACCTCATAGCGAGCGTTTGGGTATGGTGAAAAGAATTATAGATGTCAAACCTATTTTCACTAGGGACGATATTCTCAATGATTATGCAGATCTCTTCGATGGCAAACCCATTAAACATCATATCAGTGTCAATCCAAATGAAAAACCTACAATTCATCCTCCTCGACGCGTTCCAGTAGCTATGAGAACGAAAATTAAAGAAGAGTTAGAACGAATGCAACGGATGGGTGTCATCGATCCTG